GTGACTTATTTCCAGAGTGATGAGGTTTAGATGATAATACAACTGTTTTACTGGCAAGCTGTTACAGGATTGCACAGGACTGTCTTCATGATAAACAAAACACACAACTTGGCTATGAAACTTCCCTGAAGTGGATATTTTACACTTAGATGATGGTAAAGAGCAGTGGCAGAGATCTGGCAGGATATGCTTGTGGATTGCTTAGCAGCCAAGAAAGGAACACATCAGCAAAATGCAATTAACTTGTTTTGTGTGTGTATATACATGCAGCATTTAAAGAATTAGAGATTCCTGTGCTGCAAGTGCTTAGAACACTGACGAGTTGTGACAGTTTCAAAATTTAAAACAAAACCTTGCAATTAGTTCTCCCAATCATTATCACTACATATTCGTTCTGATGCTTTATCCATTATTATTGCTGCATATGCAAAGCAGTCAGTCCTTAGCACTTCATTTTAAATTAGCTGTGAGTGTGCACCACTACAGAGCTGATGCCTTATTGTTAGAACATGACTGAGGTCACTGGTATTCATCAAAGCTGTCAAACTCAAGAGTTCTTCACTAAGGAGACCTGAAGTTGATAGTTCTTTTCTCTTTCCCTGCCCTTGATTAACTATTTTGTTGTTGCTTTTAATTTTCATGAGGTGATTCTTCCTTCTTTCTTAAAAGCAAGCCTTTCTCCAGCTCTCAAGGCTTCACTTTCTCAGTGGCCAAAGGCAATAGTGAGGCCTCACCTTGAATTCTGTGTTCAGATTTGGGTTCTTTACTACAGGAAAGACATTGAGGTGCTGGGGTCTCTCTGAGGAAGAGTAACAGAGCTGGGGAAGGAGCTTCCTGGAAAGGAGGTTGTAGCCAAGTGGGGTTGGTCTTTTCTCCCAAGTAACAAACAACAGGACAAGAGGAAATGGCCTCAAGTTGCACGATGGGAGGTTTAGAATGGATATTAGAAAAAATTTCTCCATAGGAAGGATTGTCAAGGATTGGAACAGGCTGCCCAGGGAAGTGATTGAGTCAACAATCCTGGAGGTATTTTAGAAGACATGTAGATGTAGTACTGAGGGACATGGTTTAGTGGTAGACTAGACAGTGCTGGGTTAATGGTTGGACTCTATGATCTTTTCTAACCTAAAGGTTAAATTCTTTCCAACTTCCACAAGTGGGAAGGTGTTGGTAGATAATTATAGAGACATAAAGTCATAGAATGGTTTGGGTTAGAAGGAACCTTAAAGACCATCTTGTTCCAACCCCCCTTCCACTAGACCAGCTTGTTGAGAGCCCTATCCAGCCTGGCCTAGAACACTTCCAGGGATGGGGCAGACACAGCTTCTCTGGGCTGGTTTTACTCATCTAATTTGAGTCCCTGTTTATGTGCTGTTAACCAGGACAGTTATCCCCTCCTGCAGCTGTTTTCCACTGTTTTTTTGCAGTTGTGCCTGCTGTGCCGTACTGATCTGGTAGAGTTTAGAGTTTGATATAAGAACTGTAGACCTTCAAGTTGCTATCTTGAATTCTGTTGATGAGCAGTTTTGGGTACAGTATTTGTTTCCTTTATCTTCTTTTTAGAAACTCCTTTTCTCCTTGGGTAGGTTTTTTTGGTTTTGTTTCCTTATAACAAGGTCAGTACAACACAGAACACAACTCTGATACTACTTAGAATTGTAATAATCAGTGTATGTAACACATCCCCAATAGGTGGTGCTGCATCTTTTTCATAGTGTCTAATTGCTGTATTGTTGGCCCTGATCACCTGGAAAAGTTGTCTTTTTGAGTAAACTTAAGTTTGTAATCTAGTAATAATAAATACTTTTTTTTTTAAATAAATATTGTAATTAATTTAAGAAAAGGAATCAAATGTGGCTTTGTAGCTTAGTAGTTGGAACAGTTATCTTATTGTAGAAAGACAAAAATCAGGTTTTGGTTCATCTACTGTGGATTAATTGTGATTAAATCATTAATTGTTGAAATAACAAACAGTCCTTGAGTAGGGACCAGACCCTCAAAGTTTTTGTAGCCATATGAACACATTTAGATCATAAAGCCATGGTCTTCTTCACTTTTGTTCTGATTTAAAATTCTTATGCAAAGCAGAACACAGAGTACATGACAGGTCTAATGCACACACTCCAGGTAACATCTTAAAAGTTATAAGACAGAAAATATAAGCTTAAATCCCCTCCAAGTCAAGAATAAAATTTACATCTTTCTGCTCTGAACAAAAATTTTTGCCACTGTATTATTGTAAGCAATTACTACAAGATATTTAAAAATCTCTGGGGCTTTTAAAGTAATTTAGTTTTAAAAGGGAAGAGTTGGTACTTATGGCGATCAATATATGTTTTCTCATCAAAAGAAAAGCCATATAATTTTCCCTAGATTGCTGCTGCTATAAATGAGTTTTAAAAGCTGCTCCTAAATACTATCTTTGCTTCCAAAAAGATTAGACCATTCTCTTTTTTTTTCAAAAATAATGATTTCTTCCGTGAGAGATATCACAGAAGATATTCTGTGAGAGTTCTGGGAAATGTTGTCTTGGAATCCAGCAGTTAGGACAGGTATTGTGTCCAACAGTCACTCATTTTTTTCTTTAGAGAAACCTAATTTTAAGTGTTTAAGCAGCTGTTCTTATACTACCATATAATTGTTAATACAGCATATAAAGAACGTGCTATAAAAGAATGCTGTTACAGAGCTTTCAAACCTCTCTTTCAGATCAAACCTTTTCAAGAATGGAGGCCTTTTTTGGGTGAAATCTCCCGGTAAGACATAATTAGGTTTCACTGTTCTTCAAAACATCAGTTGTCAGTGACAGAAAGCATTAGAAATAAAGCAAGTGACATGGCCCAAAATGAGTGTGTGAACAGAGGAAGAAGAGAGCTGTAACTCTCTTTCCTCAGATGCACAGAAATGATGCTGCAAGAACTCAGTACCATGAAAATATGCCTCCAGGAGCAGCAGCACTTCTACATGAGAAAATAGTGCTTAAATAAAACTATTTAACTAATTTATTATTTAACTGTGCAGTCCTGCAGTTCTGTATAAACGGTGATAAGCCCTTTTGCTTATGAAGTGCTAAATCCACAGGAATCAGCTTTAAATCAATACAATTATGTTGCACTCTAAGACGTTCAAGGTATTAATTGCTGTTTTCAGGATCTCTATTTTTCAGGGAACTTCTGAAATCAATTTCAGAGCATCCTGTGGAGCTGGAGAGAAGTGTTGGGTATGTGTTTACTGTTTTGTAAAACCTCCCCTTGTATTTCACCTGTCTTCTGTTGCTTGTTAGCGTGTTATTTTCAAACTGCTACCAGAGTACCATAATGTACTTTTAGCCTCAGTGTTAGTCAGTGCTGCTCATCAAGGTGACCAAATTAGTCAAGTGGACATTTCTAGAAACCTGTCAGTTTACTTTTATGTTCTTTTTTTCTTAAATGCAGGTCTAACAGGCATGATAGTCTGTGTAATTGTCAGGGAAGTTATATTCCTGATTAGATTGAAGAGATTGATTTAAATAATAGCATCAAAAAAAACAGATGTCAATACAGGGACTGCATGGCTTCTTCCTGTCACCTCAGCAGAAAAGCCAAATTTGCCTGAGATAACTCTCTTCTGGGTCTTGGGTTTGGGTGGTTGTGAAAAAATGTTACCCAGCTCCTCACAGAGAGGAAAACAGCAACCCCCTTGCCAGCTCCCTTGTTTATCTTTTTACTAGAGTTGCCTGGTTTTACTTTAAAACTAAAGTTGACCCATAATTTTGTCCTTTATTTGTTTATACTTGTGGGTAAATCTTTACTTTCCAGCAACTTGAGAAGCTTGGAATGGAGACAAATCTGAAATCACTCCAGTGGAAACTCTAGTGGTGACAATGGTTTCAGGAACAGTTCAGTTGAAGTGAAAGCTGAGCTGTTAATAGCAGCCCTTAAATATCTACAAGTACGACCCAAAAGGGTAAACACTTTGGAGCACTGAGATGCTTCGTTATCACTTCAAATATGAACTGATGAAGGAGGATATTAATTGGTTTGACAAACCATAGAAGCCGTATGTTTGCCTTGTCCTTTGGCAGATAATATTTAGTGAAGGAATTCGGTTGAATTTGAAGGGGCTTGACTGATCTGGAGTGCAAACTGCATGAATTTATTATAGGTTTCCACATTGACATGGAGGAGGTGATTTAAAGGATGGATCGTGGTGCTGTACTGTAACTCTGTAGGTAACTCCTGGTGGAAGTGAGCATCGTTAAATTGCTCTTTGACTCCTTAGTAGGTTTAAGATTTTTTTTTCCTCCTTTCTTCTGCTGAAAGGAAGAGGTACCACTTAGATGATTACAAAAGCATGACAGTTCCTGCAGGAACTATCATCACTGATACAGCTGAGTTTCATAGATACGACTAAAAGTATCTATGTCCATAGGACATGGTACAGAGGTGCAAGATCCATGAGGTGACCTGAGGTGTTCACAGCTACAGGAGGAATAAGAGAAGTGAAACAATCAAATCCAAATTTCAAGTAAACAGAGCATACGTATGCGTAATACCGGTATCATTCCAGCATCCCTTTTAAACACGTGTCAGGAGGAGAGGTAGTGCAGAGAGCTGGAGGCACACAGTCATTTTCCAAGGTCTCATTGAAAGCGACGGGACGAGAGGACAGTCTTAAGCTGCGCCAAGGGAGGTTTAGGTTGGACATTAGGAAGAAATTCTTCACAGAAAGGGTGATTAAACATTGGAATGTGCTGCCTAGGGAGGCCGTGGAGTCACCGTCCCTGGAGGTGTTTCAGGAAAGACTGGACGTGGCACTCAGTGCCATGGTCTGGCTGACATTGTTGGTGTGAGGCCATAGGTTGCACTCGGTCATCTCAGAGACCTTTTCCAACCTAACTGCTCCTGTGATTCTCCTCCTTCTCCTTCTCCTGCTCTGCTCCCGCTTCCCGCCCGCCCGGGCCGGAGGGCGGAGCGCCCCTTCCCCGTGACCCCGCGGCTCCTCCCTTCTCCCCTCCCCGCTCCTCAGTGCCGCCGAGTAACCTGGATTCCCGGCCCTCCTCCTCCTCCCTCTTTCTTTTCTTTTTTTTTTTTTTTTTCCTCCTCTCCCCTTTTCTTTTCCTCCCCCCTCCCCTCCCCTTCCTCCTCCTCCTCCCCTTCCCCCGACAGCGTAGCCGGGGCTCGGGCTCGCTCCCTCCCCCGTGCCCTCCCCTGGAGCCGCCGCCGCCTCCGCCGTCGCACACGGAGACATGTACCCGGGAGCCCCCTCCGCCGGACCCGGTGAGGCTGCGACCGGGTTTCTTTCCCTCCCCCGCTCCCCTTGGAGGGGCTTTCCCGGCCCGTGTCCGCGGGGAGCCCCGGGAGCGCTCTCCCCCCGCGGCTCGGGCCTGGCTGGAGCCGCGGCCGGGGGAGGAAGGAGGGTCAGGGCGCCGCCGCCACCTCGGGCAGGGCGGCCGCGTGTCCGGAGGCCCCTCTGAGGGGAGGCTCTCCTCCCCTGCCCCGCTCTTCCCTCCCTCTGCCGAGCCCCGGGGCCGGCGCAGCTCCCGCCGCGGAGCGGGGTCTCCATTTCCTCACTCCCGGCTCCATCCTGGGATTCCCGGCTCGCCGCGTGTTCGGCCGCGCTGCGATAGTTGGTGTTGTGGAGGTGCGGGAGAAGCGCGTCCACATGTCGAGAGCAGCTGGGAGAGGTGATGGGCTGCCTGAGGTGTCCTCGGGCTCTGTCTATGGGGAAATCTGGGAGTGAAAGGAAATGTGGACGTGGAAAGAAGAGTTACCAACTCGCTCAGAGACATTTAATATTGTTTAGGGGAAATACAGGTTAATACTGCGCGAGTTTGTGCAGTTCATTATGGGACAGTGTTATAGGCTGTTTCTGTGGTGAGAATTCTTATGTACAAACTGCAGTGTTTGTGTGACCGGCACCTAGTTTTCTTCTAGAAAAGTTTTAAAATAAATGGAACTTTATTTGATGTTGCTGTTCCCAACGGTTTTGCATAAAATCTCTTCCCTTAGGGTGATAATCTAGCAAAGAGTAGTGTAGTGAAATACAGGACCTATAACTGAGATGTCTCTGACCGCTCCTCTTACAGATGCTTATTCTGTAAAAGCATTAAAGCATTCCTGTCTTGGGATCCACAGTTAGGTGCTGGCTTCCTTTTTTTTTTTTGTCTGATTTGGTTCTCTACAAGGGACAAAAATCAAGAAAGACAATCAGGATGATTGTTTTGAAGTACAGCTTCTCTGTTTTTACTTTCTTTTCTTTCTGCAGCACACGAAAACTCTCTCTAGCACAGCAGAGAGACAGGTCTCTGCAGCTCGTGTGTCCAGAGGGACATTCATGATTTGGCTCTCTTGTGTAACATCATTTGCACATTTCTGTACCAATAGCTGTGTATAATATTGATGTAATCCTTTGGTGTCTTCTAGTGTGGAGTTCTCTTGCTCAGGTATAGATACACTTTGAGTTTACAGGTGTTCATGGTGCTGTTGCTGCCGAGGCTGTTGTGTTCACTTCCTGGTGATACAGCTTGTTCCAAATGGTGCTTAAGGAGGCAAATAATTAAAAATATTACCAGCGTGTGGGCTGAGAGTAGTTTTATGTGTGAGAGTCTCTTTATCTTCTTTTATTTACTCTCTGTCCAATCCTACCACTTTCCTTTTCACTCAGAATGATCTTAGCTCCAGTTGGTGGTTGCTGTTTACCTTCAGGGACCTATGTTCAGTGTGAAAGGATGTGTTCCCCTTCCTGGAACAACCGTCTCTTAACTCCGGGCTCTAGGTAGAAGAACTTTCACCAAGTTCAGGGTTGCTGTGTGTTGTTCCTAGTGTGTGTCTTGGGCTCCTGCTGTTCTGCTCCCTCCAGCCGAGCTCATCTTGTGCCTTGTTTACTTCCGAGTTTATCTGTGTTGCTCAGCCCTTTCCCCGCGCAGAGCTGGGCAGTGGCAGTGTCTGTGCCGGGCTATGAGCTGTGAGTCGTTCTCTACATGGTGAGGCTCTGCTTCCTTCCTGTGAAATCATCCACTGAGAGCCTCAGCAGCACAGTGGGTTCCAGCAGCCCAGATAGCTTCCTGCTGCACTCCAAAATCACAAAGCCTTGGAGTTTTTTAGGAGAGCGTGGCTGTCCGGTGGACCAGCAAACAGGAACTGTCAGAAAGATGCTTCGCTGCCTTGTGCAAGGCTACATGTGGCCTGTGAGCTGCCAGGGAAGTCCCATTCCAAACACACTGAAATCCTGTTCAGGGGAGAGAGCAGAAGTGTGGTTTACAACCCCTCACCGAGCTGCAGCTGCTGTGAGCGCAGCAGAGCTCCAGCCTCTCTACACATCTGTCAGCAGATCCTTGACACCAAGTAAACGCTCCATCCCTATCTGCCATAACCCGGATCCCGACGCCGCTCCCTGCTTGGTCACTGATCCACACGAGCTACTTTGTTCTTCCAGCTCCCGCTGCCAGACTGGACCCTGCAGCCAAGCCCATTTCGAGGGTGCTGGTGGTGCTGGACTCCTGCCAGTGTAATCGCTCCATTTGCCACAGGGTTTGCTATTTTAGGCTTAATTCTTTTTCTGGAAACAGTATCAAGAGAGTTGGGAGGCCGCATGTGACTAATTTCAAAAAGTTGCTGCCGAACGTGGAAACTTCATTCAAATGTGCTGTTATGTCTGGAGTAAGGTGGTTTTTGTGCACGAGGGGGACATCATGAAATCACTCTTTCCATGGTTAGGAAACCTGTGATCCCTTTTCCTTTCTCCCCAAGTGCTGTCTGAGTTATTGCCTTGGTGTTGAACTTGCTGTGATATTGTGCCCATACCTTTTTTTTGCCTTCAAGAAACTGTGGAAAGTAAAAAATATGAAAATCTAAGAGAGAATTCTTTGTTTTTTAAAGAAAAGGTTTGATACTGCTACTTTTTGGTTTGTCTTTTTCTATAAGGACAGAAAAATGTCAAAGTGGCATAATAGAAATAGTCTCATTCAGTTAAAAGACTTGATTAAAAGTTGAATAAACTTCTGGAACTACACTCCTTGGTGTTGATGTACTTATAAATTCTAAACTTGCACATTGTAGATTCCTTTCTTGTTCTTTGAAAGGATTTTTGGGTTTTGCCTGCTACACAAGGTCGTAATTTACTGTTGAAGCAGTGGTTGTCTGAAAAAGAGTGACTTTGTGGAAGGGATTATGGCTTTGCATGTGAAATAAAAACTTTTTTACCCAGCACAAGAAACAACTTTATCAAATCAGTGAAATTAAGGTTATTTTCTTACTTGTTTAGTTTTTAAAACTGTGAATAGACTGTTGAAACTTGTAAATCTTTTTTGGTTTTCAGTGCATGTGCTTGTTTTTACCTCCCATGTATTTTCTTGAAGATATGAGATGTTGGATGTTGATTCTCTTTAGGAGTCTTTAGTCCCAAAATGTGATGCAGGGAAAGGTGTGCTCATGCCTTACTTGGGGTAGTAGAAGTGGCAACTTCTTCATCTCATGGAATTTAACTCCACCAGTGTCCTACTGGCTTGTGTTTCAGCAGCAGCTGAAACCTCCTGTCAAAGTTGTGCCCTTCTCTTCTTAGAAAGGCTTTTTCTGTTCTTTTGGGGGTGGATCTGGACCTGCTCTTACTGTACTAAATCTGCTGATATCACAGAGTCGCCCAGTTTCTTTGGCTTAATTTTAGACAGTAAATTAAAGCTGAAACTCACTGTAAGCTGCCACATGTAGAGGAGGGAGTGAGAACTTTGCGTAGTTTCAGCTCTCTTCCTTTTTGTGTGAGAGTTTTTCCTAAAATTGAAATTGCCTTTGACAAAGTTACAGCCTACAACACACAGCATAGCTTTTCCAGGTGTATTGTTGTCGTGACCAGTATATTTTCCTAAGGAAGGAAAAGATTCCGTATCACTGTGTCGCCTCAGCCAGCTGTGTAGTCTTCAGGTGGCTAAAGATGAGGTAGTTGTTTGGTGAAGAGAGAATTGGTGGTGTCAGATGTGCAAACCAAACTTTCTCCTTTGCTTGGTGAACTGGAGGATCCTGTCTGCTATCGAAAAGTGAAACATTGTGTTCAGCAGTGGTTCTCTTACTGATTCTGCACTTAAATGGGATTTTGTGGACTTATTTTTTCTTGTCTCGAAGTTTTTCCACTTTCACAGAATCGTGTGTGCTCGTACGTGTGTAGTGGTGTGTTGTAACACATAGAAAAAGTACAGAGGAACAGCCAAACCTTTCTGACTTCCAGGAAAGTTCTTTTTTTCACAATTTGTACCCCCTCCTTCACTGCTGTCACCACCACTCTGCCTCTGTTTCACAGAAGGGTGGGAAAGACATACAAATGTTTTAACTGTGCGAGAGAAAATATGTCTTACATTATCATATGATGCTCTTTTGCCCACTTAGAACTGTGTAGGAGGGAAAGATTTCTCCGGTTCAGAAACCAGTCTTTCTGAACACTTCTGGCTTTCCAGAAATTTTGAGGATTGAGCTGATGAACGCAGTAAACTTCTAACTGCTAAATTGGTTTTGCAAACATAGACAGCTCTAACTAATGAGGAACTTTACGTGCCTGATGGAAGTCTTGTTCGTGTCAGCTAAGCATGTACTGACAACAGCTTTACAGAACTTGTAAGACTTGTCAAAATTCTGTGGTGTTTTGCCTCCCCTAATTTTTTTGTCACGTTTAAGCAAAATACTTGGTCATATTTTTAGTGATGGAATTTCTTAATACTCAACCTACCAGAAAATATTACTAAATCTGAAAATGAAGAAAAGTCAGCCTCCAGTATCTTATTTTTGGTAAGTTATGAACTACAAAAAAGTAAGTGGTGGAAAATATTACTTAGTTGTAGCTGTAGTGGCTGTGGGTAGGGATCTGTTCCATGCATTGTCCAATTAATTTGTTTTAGTATCATGCATCCTTTCTGATGTACTCACAAAGCAGCCCACTAGAATGTAAAGTATCTCTTACCCTATTGACTAGGGAAGTGCAGCACTTTGAACTCAGTGCAAGGCTTTTTTTGGTTTTTTTTTCCCCTCACACTTAAACATTTCATTATATGTTTTATACTATAAAAATTGGAAAAAGACAGGCCTGAATAGCATCAACCCCAGCTGGAGTGAACTTGAGTATCTCATGTCTTACACCAGAGCTGTAATTTGTTGGTACACAGTCCCCTTTGGTAGCCATTTCTAAGAATTAGTGCTTTGAAGAGAGTTTTCAGTTCTGGCCAGGAAGTGGTTTTTTAAATCCTCGAGGCTGAGGTGGTGTCTGTAGTTTTATATAATCAGGACTGATTTAATAG